TTTCACTAAACTGCCTAGTTTAAAACAGGGGGCATACCCCCCTGTAACCCCCCAGATTTTCTTTTAACCCAGTGGGGCAGGCCCCCCTGGAACCCCCCGCCTATCTCTATTAACTCTTGTCCTGCGTCTGTGCTGAGATTCGAATCTTATCAGCAACCGTTTTCGTCGAACGTTCTGGGCAGGCCACCAGGGTCACTCAGTGTGTACTGTTGGTGTACAGCGAGCACGCCTGGAAACATGTGTTTTCGCCATGAATACCGTGGTAGTGTGTTAATCGATCGCCCCTGCAGGTGGGGGCCCGTAGTTTTACTAAAAAGAGGGTTCTCAGCAACTGCAGCAACTACCGACGAGTCACTCTTTTCTCAATACCAGGAAAGGTCTTCAACAGAATAATTCTGGAAAGAATCAAGTCTGGAACAGATCCTAAACTTCGGGATGAACAGGCTGGTTTTCGGAAAAATCGCTCAACCATGGACCAACTGAGGATCATAGTGGAACAGTCCCTGGAGTGGAACTCCCAGTTGACCGTCAACTTTCTTGACTATGAGAAGGCCTTTGACAGCATAGACCGAGCAACACTGGAATATACTGAGACATCACGGAATCCCACAGAAGTTGGTTAACCTCATCGGGAGCATGTACAAAGGGACAAGTTGCAGGGTTATACATGATGGCCAGCTCACTGACAGCTTTGACATCAAGACCGGTGTGAGACAGGTACGTTTACTATCACCTTTCCTCTTTATCTTGGCAATCGACTGGCTGATGAAGGAAACCACCAGAGGACACAGAAACGGTATACAGTGGACGCAGTTGGACGATCTGGACTTTGCAGATGACTTGGCGCTTCTGTCACACACTCAGGAACAGATGCAAGCAAAGACAACAATTTTAAATGGCCTATCAGAGTCTGTTGGATTGAGGATCCACCCCGGAAAGTCAAAAGCCCTAAGGATAGATGCACTACGAAAGGAGCACAAGGAAATGGACTAGAAGACGTTGAATCCTTCTGTTATCTTGGGAGTATAATTGACAGAGAGGGAGGAACTTGTGCTGAAATAAAGTCCCGCTTTGGAAAGGCACAGACTGCATTTATTTCTTTTAACAGGATTTGGAGGACCAGGGATATCTCATTACGAGCAAAGCTTAGAATTTTCAACTCAAATGTGAAGTCAGCCTTGTTGTATAGATGTGAGACGTGGAACGCATCCCACACGTGCATAAAGAGGATCCAGGTTTTCTTAACAAGTGTCTGAGGAAGCTACTGAGGATCAAATGGACAGACAGGATCACCAACAAGGAAGTATTAAGAAGAACGAGACAGAGCCCAGTCAGAGATGAGGTGGAAAGAAGACATTGGCAATGAATTGGACACACTTTAAGGAAGTCAAGCAGCTGCATAACAAGAAAGGAGTTAGACTGGAACCCACAGTGTAAAAGATCAAGGGGAAGACCACATGGAACCTGGAGGAGAGTCATGGAAATGGATGCACAGAAAAGTGGGAAGACATGGAGTGACATCAAGCGACTAGCCCAGAATAGAGAAAGGTGGAAAGTGTTTTTCGTGGCCTATATCCTGATCCAGGGTGAGAAAGGCAATGATGATGTGTTAATAAATGATGAAAATAACGCTCTATCTTATATAGCATTCTATTTATAAAGTGTTACGAACACATGAATAACCCCCTTTCATAAGCTGATAAGACATTACAAGTAGTTAGGCCCATTCGAATAACTTTTTAGACGTTTTTATTGTTATGAAATACCTGGGGTTCGAAAGGGGATAATAGGTCAATTTCCGAATGTTTTGCACTCAAATTGTTCATTTTACCTGTACAATGAAACTATCAAACAAGCTTATTTTTTATCCGGTAGTATCATTTCATACAAAATCAAGCTCATTTGAAAGATTTTGTATAGAAAAATGGAAGTCTTGTTTCCTGACTATCCTTTCGAGCTCCTCATATCTAAGTTGGTCAATTTGTTCTATAATTTCATTGGACGAACATTTAGAGCTACCAACTTGGTATGTTTTGAATGAGACGTATGCCTCGGTTACGAACCAAAGCAGGCGGTTCTAGAAGGCCACAAACGCACACAAACTCAAGCAGACTGACGCACACACACTTGATCTGCGTGAATGCGGATCCGACACAGGACCCGAATTGAACGGGAGATGATGCTCGGCACGCGTGCGCTGAGCCAGGGGCCAGACTGACGCGGGACCGGAACGCAGGCGAGGTGCTGAAATAGGCTCATCGGGCGACATAAAACCAGCCCCCGCAGGACGAAGGTTAAGAACAATCAGATATTTCAAAAACTATTAATTTGCGACGAAAATGAAGTTGGTATTCGTGTTCAGTGCATCAATATTTAATAGAAAATGGACAACTGGTAGGTAAGTGTGAGACGGGAGGGAAAGTTAAAAAATACCCAACAAAGAATTTTATTCATCTTTTATTTGTGATTTGGGAGGAATTTCGTTACGAGTGACCACAATGAATCATAGTAGAATAAACGGTTAGGGAGGGTTTGTGACGTGTGCACGCACGCGTTTCTGTGTGTGTGTGTGCGTGCTTGTGTGTGTATGTGTGTGTGTGCGCGCATGTGTGTGTGGGTGTGTGTGTGCCAACGCGCTTGCATGTGTGTGTGTGCAACTTTGAGGAAAGGTAAATTTATGGAACAAAAATTTCTGAGACTGTTTATAGAAAGGTTGCACAAATTAATTTTTTTTTTTTAAACCCCAAACACAGCGAGATCTAGTCAACTGTTTACTGGCGAGGAAAACCTAAGAGTCTTGGGGGGAAACCCCGGAAGACGACAAAAATAGATGGCGGAAGTAGGTCATCTATATTTGGGCCAATCACAGAGGTGTGCTTGGTGCTTGCTGTAGCTTCATATGTTTGTTGAGGTTGTCGCATGTTACTTGTTACGAAAGTCCTTCCTGTGATTTTTTTTGGCTCGAGGTCTACAGCTGCCAAAAATCACTTTAAAGGCCGTAGTATGCTTAGCCTTGTCAGGTAGTGATGGGAGTAATGAAGTGTTAAAATAGAATAGTGGTGAATAGAATCTGAATTATAATCAATTTGGAGTCCTGGATTTTAAAATGAGTAAGTTTGAAAGAACTGCTCAGTCTCAGTTTAGACTGAACCTTGAGTGGTACAGTACAGTGGGCCCCACTTATTAGTATTCAAGCCTCGTCCAACGGGTGCTGGGTTTATGTTCCCCGCTGATAAGCGTATTATTTGGGCATTTCGCCTTCAGTCCTGTCCCGTGCTCAGCACACACGCACCGAACATCATCCGTGTGATGACTGGGTTCCGTATTCCCGCAATTCAAGTATGTGTGCGTCAGTCTGCTTAAGTTTGTGCATTTGTGGCCTACTTTCTAGACCCACCTGTGTTGGTTCGTAACCAAGACGTACATCTCATTCAAAACACACCAAGTTGGTAGTTCTAGATGTTCGTCAGTTGGTAGCTCTAGATGCTCGTTCAATGAAATAAAAACAAATTGACCCACTTAGACATGAGGAGCTCGAAAAGATAGCTAGGAAACAAGACTTTCATTTTTCCATACAAAATCTTTGAAATGAGCTTGATTTTGTATTTTTAGAAAATGATATTACCTGATAAAGATAAGTTTTTATTTGATAGTTTTGAATACCAGTGTGCAGGTAAACAGAAAAATTTGAGAGCCGGAAATTGACCTAGATGTATAATTATTTCCGTTTGCACCCCAGATCATTCATAACAACAAGAGCGTCTAAAAAGGTTTTCGAATGGGCATTGCTTGTAATGTCTTATCAGCTTATGAGAGGGGGTTATTCGTGTGTTTGTAACGCTTTATAAATAGAGAGCTATAAAAGATAGGGTGTTATTTTCATCATCGATCAACACACCCTCACAGTAGTCTCGGCGAAAACACTTTTCTAGGGCCACTTGTTGTACACTTACAGTGCACACTGACCCTGGCGGCCCGCCGGGAACGTCCGTGGTGAAAAGTTACTTGATAAGACTCACATCTCGGCACAGACACAGGGCAGGAGTTAATGTAAGGGTCACGGTTATTACAGGATTCTTGAAATATCCAAGTCCCATCTCTTTAGGCTAAGGCCTAGCCAGGCCTCCTTATTTTGTTTAAAAGTGGGTGCTAAAAAATGGCATTTGGCATGATTCAGACATCAAGTATGCTCGACAATTACTTGTCCGGCCATCAACAAAATGCTTAACTGTGAAAACAAATAGACGGGAGAAAAAGAAAAGCAGATGAAGCAAAACAACTTCCAACATGGCAAACTGGAGTTGAGTGACCCACTGTAGCAGTTAGTTGGTCCGAAAAGTTGACTGTGTCTTCATGTCAAATTTATTGTGTCATACCGTGTGTTCTGGGAAGGGGAAAAGCTGATGCTCTTTGGTGTAAATCCAGTCATTGGCATAGTGTTGCCTTGGTTTGGCACAACATGATCGCATGATTGTCTCCCCATGGGGTGGCAAGACCTGTAACAGGAATAAATGATTGAACGAAAAGTAGGCACTGTGTGGTAGATCTCTTGCTGGAAGATATGGGAAACCTGAAGTACCTGTAAAGGACCAAGAGGGGAAAAGCATTTTTGGAAAGGAAGCTCAGTCTAAACAATGGGTAGGGCATTTCAACAGTCTCCTGAACAGACCACTACTGAGTAACCCAACAAACATACTGCCAGCAAGAAATGAGTTACCTATCTGCTGTGATGCTCCTTCAAAACAAGAGATTCTGGATGTCATTAAGAAGCTGAACAAAGATAAAGTGGCTGGTCCCAACCAGATTCCACCTGAAGCCCTAAAAGCAGATGCCAATGTGACGGCAGACATCCTCCTCCCACTGTTTACCAGGACCTGGAATGAGAGCAAGTTCTCAAAGGATTGGAAAGAAGGACACCTCATGAAGCTTCCAAAAAAGGGGGATCTCAGCAACTGCAGCAACTGCAGCAACTACAGAGGGATCACTCTTTTCTCAATACCAGGTAAGGTCTTCAACAGAATCATTCTGGAGAGAATCAAGACAGGAACGGATCCAAGACTACGGGATGGACAGGCCGGTTTCCGGAAAAATCGCTCAACCACCGACCAGATTGCCACGCTGAGGATTATTGTGGAACAGTCCCTGGAGTGGAACTCCCAGCTGATTGTCAACTTCCTTGACTATGAGAAGGCCTTTGACAGTATAGACCGAGCGACACTATGAAAGATAATGAGACACCACGGAATCCCACAGAAGAAGTTGCAGGGTTGTACATGATGGCCAGCTCACTGACAGCTTTGACATCAAGACTGGTGTGAGACAGGGATGCTTACTACCACCGTTCCTCTTCATATTGACAATCGACTGGCTGATGAAGGAAACCACCAGAGGACACAGAAATGGTATACAGTGGACACCATGGACACAGTTGGACGATCTGGATTTTGCAGACGACTTGGCGCTTCTGTCGCACACCCAGGAACAGATGCAAGCAAAGACTTCAGTATTAAACAGCCTTTCGGAGTCTGTTGGATTGAGCATCCACCCCAGAAAGTCAAAGGTCCTAAGGACAGATGCACAACGAAAGGAGCAGGTCACAGTAGAAGGAAGGGCCCTAGAAAATGTTGAATTCTTCTGCTATCTTGTGAGCATAATTGACAGAGAGGGAGGAACAGGTGCTGAAATAAAGTCCCGCATTGGAAAAGCACAGGCTGCTTTCATATCTTTGGATAGGATTTGGAAGACCAGAGATATCTCACTTCGAACGAAGCTGAGGATTTTCAATTCAAACGTGAAGTCGGTCCTGTTGTATGGATGTGAGGCATGGAACGTATCACAGACTTGCATAAAGAGGATCCAGGTTTTCTTGAACAGGTGTCTAAGAAAGTTACTGAGGATCAGATGGACAGACAGGGTCACCAATGTGGAAGTGTTAAGGAAAACAAGACAGATCCCAGTCAGAGATGAGGTAGGAAGAAGGCAGTGGCGATGGATTGGACATACTCTCAGGAAGTCAGGCAGCTGCATAACGAAGAAAGTTTTGAATTGGAACCCACAGGGCAAGAGATCAAGGGGAAGACCTCGTGGAACCTGGAGAAGAATCACAGAAGTCGATGTACAGAAAAGTGGGAAGACATGGAATAACATCAAGAGGTTAGCCCAGGATAGAGAAAAGTGGAAGGTGTTTGTCCGTGGCATATACCGTGGTGCAGGGTGAGAAAGGCAATGATGATGATGATGATGTGTGGTAAATCTACCGCAACTTAATGTGTGTTCGTTTTCCTAACTTTGGTTGCTATTACTATTCGATTGAAAAGAATAATTGTACCCTGTAATCTCCAGATTTTCTTTACTTTTGGCAAGCCCTCCCCCTGAAAGTCAAACCTCTCCCCTGGGTTGATCCAAAGTACTGGAATTACTACACAATTATGCTTATTATAAAATAGTTCAAATATATAACACCCATCAAATTTATTTTTGTTAATATTGATGATATTAATGGAATGTCAATTTTCGTGTTATAATAGTTTCAAAAATTAACTGCTTAAGGGCTACAATATACCTGAGCTTGGGACGGGAGTGCAAGTAAAATAATGCTGGGTATTATTTTACTCATGGACCCGTCTCACAGTCTGATAATCTAAAGCACTTTTGTTTGCTCATTTTTATCTGCTTTACACGAATTGGCATTATTTTACCCATGGACCCGTCTCAAGCTTGAATATTGATTACATTCTAAAGCAATTTTCTTGTTCATTTTTATCTGCTCTACACAAATTTAACTTCATATCCACTGCCAATTATTAGTTCATGAGATTATGGATAGTTTTGTTCAAACTGTATTGCAATAGGACTAATGGCTTAGTGTTATTAGACTTGTTTTTAACAACATAGGGAGTTTCAGGGGGGCGGGGGGGGTTGATTTCACCATAATTTGTTATTTTGGCAATTAGGTTTGATATCTTGAAAACAAATGATTTACTAGGATTTTAGTGGTCATATGTGTGTTTTGCTGCAAAAATTACAGCAGTTTAGGTCCCAAAGCAGTGCCACTGGGTGTGGGTCTAAAAGTAAAAATTTATCTAATACTGAGATAGAATAAAAGATGCATAAAAACCTGGAATAAAAATAAAGGGAGGTAAAAATATGGAGAACGAAATGTCACAGGAAAAGAAAGGGGCAATAACTGATAAATCAGTAATAAGTAATATGTTATTATAATAATATCACAAAGACGTTTGGTATGTAATTAATTTGATCCCATTTATTAATCGTTAGTTGCAGGTTTTAGTGTGTATGTAAGCTTGATCCATGTCTAAAGCAAGGGATATCACAGCGGTTCTGTTTTAGCTGGAGACCACTATACTTACCCATATAATGTGGTTGTTGTCTCTGTTTTTTTGCAGCATTATAATTCAGCAAAATGGTGATGTGGACGATTCACATTGAAGGAGGTCCAAAGCGAGTAAACCATGCAGCAGTCGCAATTGGAGAGCGTATTTTCTCCTTTGGTGGCTATTGCTCAGGAGAAGACTACAATAAAACAAGACCCATTGATATTCACATGCTCAACACTGGTAAGTTATTATGTGTCTTCTTTTTTTTCATCTTTCCTGAAGAATTTTTGAATCATGTGTACAGATATTTAATCTTGTTTCTTCATTTTTGTGAAATTTACATACCATGACATACACAATAATTTGATTGAATCAATGTAAGGTTGCTCTCACTATATATGTGATTGATTTGGAGAGGGGGAAAAAAGCCCAACAACAACAGGTGTGTATTTTTGTTATCAAATTTAATATTTATGCATTCCAACCTCTTGTTCTGGTTTCCACAGTGCATTATATTTTTACTTCCCTGTTCAAGAGGTTTTTTTTCTGGACTATACATGTGAGTTGCAAGTGTACTATACTATATATTTGATATTGAAAATGAATAGGGAGAAAATGTGGAGAATGCCATTTTGTACGTTATTAATGTTGCCAGATCTGCATAAAAAAACATAAATTTGAAATACTAATGTGACGTATAAGGAAGAAAGTTGTGCCAGCATACTTTTACTTCTGTTAACCAACAGTTAATATATTTGTACTGCTAATAATTGTAATCAGACTTAAAGTTTCAAAGTTAAGATTTGTCTTAATGAAATTCATTGAATTTTTGTTTTGTTTTAATTTCCACAGTAACACTTCGTTGGACATTGTTGCCCCTACCAACTACTGAAGAAGAGCTTGCTCTAGTGCCATACCAAAGATATGGCCACACAACAGTTGAATATGAAGGAAATGCATACTTGTGGGGTGGACGTAATGACAGTACAGGAGCTTGTAACAAACTTTACAGATTTGATGGGGGTATGAGTGAACATTCTAATCTGTCACAACTTTTCAATGCTTTTAAACGAATCTTGTGGAGTGAGACTTGCATGATTTATTTCATTGTAATTCAATCTTTCTGTGAGTAGATCATGCCATGCTATTTGACCTCAGACAAAGGCAGCCTGTTCTTGGGATCCTCTTACGTGTATCTGGCCTTTATGGGTGGACAGCGTTTTAACTCGTCTTCAGTATTAATTTCATTAATTGTGTCATGACATGGTGAAGTCAGGCGGTCGTCAATTTTTGGACATGTGGAGTTATTAGTCTCATTTTAAAGCTTCTTCATTTGTTTTACTGTGGGTGAAAAAAATACTTACCATGAACAGAAGTCAAGATATTTGTGATGGAAGGACGTGGGGGTCGCCTGGTTTCAGAGGTAAAATTAGCGAGAAAATGGCTACCAAAGTTTGGCAACGTTCAAAGCTTGCGAGTCCTGAGAAACTGCACATTTTTATTTTTCTGCCTTAAATCAACATTTTTCAGTAAAATCCGCACAGAAATGTTTTTAAGAATGAACATTAAAGGTGTTTAGTCTAAAAACAAAAATTTGATAAAAATGACCAAACGGACAGAAAAATGTCAGTTTCTTCGATTTCAATCTTTTGACGAGGGCCTGATTTCACCCTGATGCCTCACAATTGCCCTGAGCAGCCAGAAATAAATCTGTGCTGTCATTCAGAATTCCCATAAGTTTTTGTATCACTCCCTATTTTGGGTCTGTCTCATTCATCATGCCAAAAGTTAACCATTGGCGAAGCGGATAGTGAAATTTAATTCAGAAAAAGTAGGTACGTTTCAGATGGATTTGATTAACTGTCTTGACTGGAAGGAAAGTGATTTGCGTTCAAGATCCAAAATTATTGATGATAAATAGGCTGCCGCCCGAAAAATACACCTTGAAGCTTCGATTGTTCTAGGGCCGGACGTAATTTTTGTTTTAATTAGTGGTGATGAAAACAGCCTGCTGTGTCTGTGACAGAAGGGGGTAAACAGAAATGACATGGAGCTGATATGAGTTAAAATTGTTTCGTTGTAACAAGTTTACTTTTGTTATTTGCACACTCTACATGCTTTTTTTTTTTCTTTTCGGTTCATCCTAATCATTGCTTAGACATTGTATGCAAAGGGTTCCATCCTTTTGTTACCTGTTGTCTGCTTCAGAGACACTAAGTCAGGGATTCTCACTGAAACGTCCAGTCTCTGGATGAACCTGTGATATGTTGTAAGAGACTGTTGCGAAAACCAAACACTGTATCCATCAAATGTAGAGACCATTGATATTATTCTGAGTTCCCTGATTTGAAAATATAGCTTCTTAATTGAAAAAGTGTCTCATTCTGATCATGTGTTTCTTTTTTACGACAAAAAACAAACAAACAAACCAACAGAAACAAAAATGTGGTGTTTTGATTAAATGTTAATGTTAACCATTTTTCTTTTCAGTGACTTACACCTGGGATATGCCGGAAGTTTCCGGGCCGATCCCAGAAGCTCGTGACGGTCATTCTGCATGTATCATCCACCAACGCATGTACATCTTCGCTGGCTATGAGGAATTTGTACGTACTTGAAGTTTATTGATAATTGATCTCACCAAGTTCCCTTTCCGTTCAAGCTTGAAGTACTTGGATTTTGAAAGTGTTTTTAAAAAACCCAACTGCTTTGTTCTGAAATGGAAGGAAAATTTCCTATAAACCCTTACCAGACAGGCTAAGCTATAAAATTCAAGTATTATGTATTGATTCTAGTGCAGATACATATGTTTTAGATAGAAGAGAGAAAGGTATTTCAGTTTGCAAGTCCAAACCCTTCTCACGTTTAGTTACAGGATTGCACTCATTTTTACATGTTGCTGTATTTAGCATTACTTATTTGAGAGCTCAGAGAATGCATTTTAGGTATAGAATTCTCTTCTCAGCTGCAATTTTTGTGCCTGAATATGGCTTTGCTATTTTTTATTGCAAGTTTATCTCTTTGATTTAGAACTAGAGGTGTCTACTCTGCTATCTCTAAAGCAGATCCGCTAACTGCTGGTCTAGATTCCAGATTCATCTAATTATTGATCTAGAATTTAGCAGATTTACACATTCTCTCATCTAGTTGATAGGAGATCAAAATTTTGTTAAATACCTGAGACAAAATCTTTTTTTTTTTTTTGACTGTTAAGCACTTGTCTTCTTGCCATCTCTCACGTCATGTCTAGGGTCCGTATATTTGCACAATCATTTTTCACCGTGATGTATGCCTATTTTTTTTTAATACTCAGGGCTCCCCTTTTCTGACCAACTTGAGAGGTTCCTTCACCCTTTGGTTTTCTGTCTTAAGGGGTATTTAAACCCTTGTTTTAGAAACTTAAAGGGTAAAAGTCAATTATCTCCTAATTTTATAGTAAAAATTTTTGCATGTTAACGTTTAACTTGCTTGCACATTCCCACAGACACACACATAGAGTGACCATTACTATGATTGAAAGCTGACGATTTTTAATTAACTTAAGGTTTCATTGTAACAGCAAATAATATTGAATACAATTAAAGTTGTGTCCATTTGGAGGAGGGAAGGATGGTGGTGGTTGAGCCAATTAAAAATAAAATAAAGTTGACAAACCAAAAGGGGTCAAATCTGACTGTAATACACAAAGAAAATCAGACCTGCCAATCTATGAAATCTAAAAGTCAGGATCTCAATGGGGAAAAAAATCGGGATTTTGTTTTTAAAAAAATCGGGATCAACGACAAATCTCCAATGTCACTGCCAAACTGACTTAAAAAATTTCTTGCACATGCGTGCCTGTTTGTGTTTTAACATTATTTTTTTAAATCCTGAAGTGCCACGTCAAGCTCTCCTAGTTTATGTGTTTTACACACACACACACCCCCCCGATAAGTCCCGAAAGACGCTTCAGCCGGTGTGCATGAACTTATACCTACCCCGTCAACGGTCCCCGACACACCCGGAACTCACTTTGGTGGGAGTCATGTCACGTGTTGCGAACGAGCGATTTAAGCTGTTTTACTGATAGGTCTTGATGACGGGCCCGACTAGTCAGAACTCGGACAAAGCTTGTTTTGAAAGTAACAGCAGAACTGCGAATAATATTGATCATTTGTGCGTCGCAATTTAAACTAAACAGTTGTCAGGCCATCATCGGAGAATTCTGAGTTGAAACAAAAATAAAAGCGAAAATGAACTGGGGGTTCTGACGAATGTCACCATTGACTAGGGCTGATGGGCAGGTACTGGTACCCAGTACTGGAACTCCCAGTACTACTGTAGGCAGTGTCAGTACTGGCACCAGTACCTGAACTCCCAGTACTACTGTAGGCAGTATCAGTACTGGCTCCAGGCCTTAAGTGCTGGTATTGGGAAGGTGGCGACATCAAGCGATACTGGCTCTGAGAAAGTGCCGACAATATGGTGATGTGCCCCTGGAACGAAAACACATTACACAGTGCTGTGTGTAGAAGCCATGACGTCAGATGCATTGCACAAACAGTGCTTCCAATCTTCCGTATTTTTTAAGAAATCCGTACCTTCTGACAGTTCTGTGCTTGCTCCCCAATCATTATCAACTCCATCCTTAAAAAAGTGCAATAGCGTTGGGCTACTGAAATTCCTTGGCAGAGGATCCGTACTTGCCTTCCATATCGTTTTGTATAAGTTACGTATTTTAACAGTAATTCTCTTTACAATTAGTTGATGTTAAAGAAACCTGCCAGATTGCGCATTTCCTGCAATCGACGACTGTCCTGCTATGCATTCATTTCGGTCGGCAATGCATTTTTAACCTGCAGATTAATCAAAATCTGGCTAGCTATGATACTGAACTTTTTGTGCCAATTTCCTAATTTCTTTCATTCACTCATTCTTTCTGTCTCTCTTTAGATTGTTGCAGGGGCTGGAAAATCTGCTCGACGATCAAGTAAATTGTCATGTGATTTTAGACAGAAAATCCATTCCATCATTTTTTAAAGAAAAAGTGTTACGTTTTTTCTATATAATTTTACTGTGTGATACGGTCACCTGTCCAACGTGGCTGCGGCCACCATACTTTAACTCACAACCCCTACCACACCAAACAATAACACCTGTCTAAGACGGCCACCTTAGTGACTCCATTATGTTTTGTCATAAATTCTGCATTGGCCCTTGGTGTCTTGGACGAGCCATCATAATCCAGTCACCTGTTGTTGTTGTTAAGTAGTCCCTCCAACCAATCATGTTGTGTAGGCCCCTCCCACTGTTGACAAATAGGTAACAATAAATTTTCGGCTCCTTGTGAGGTAAGAATGTGATTCTTCATTACCCATTAGCCCCGTCCAGAACTCATGCACAAATCATAAGTGAGATAAGTGGTCACTGTTCACCCAGTCTGTAACAAAGTAACAATGGACGTCAACATGAACTTGCGAAAGAAGCATGGCTCGTTCTCCGAGTGGTAGCGACCCATGTGTTTGTTTTAACATGGCACTCAGTCTTACTCGTCTAACATATTTCATTTTTTTGTCTCCCATGCACAAAATCAGCAGGGAATGGTTTGTTTTCTTCATCTTGATCAGTCCTACCTAAGACGACCGCCCGTCTTATACAGCCACTTTTCTCCTTGACAGTGGGTGGCCGTCTTACATAAGTTCAACTGTACATATATGTGTATATGAAGTATGTAATGTGTTTATTTTTGTGTGTCCACAGACTGACAGGTTCTCAAACGACATGAATTATTTGAACCTTGTGACTTTTCAGTGGGTCCCTGTTGTTGTAAATGTAAGTAGTGTATATATTGTGAATTTGCTTTTTGTAAGTTGTATTATATTATTGATGAAGCGGATTTTGATTCCATAAATTTTTTTATGAATTAGGAATATGTTGTGGTACTCTCCTGTTGTGTCCAGGTTGAACAATTAATACGATGCATTCATTCGCAATATAAAATATTTAGGGTTGGATATAGCTATTGTTCAAAAGGCTCAACCCAGAGAGCTGCTGGATTGGCATTGTCATATGCAGGGGAAGACACTTCGATAGTTTTTTTACTTTAAATTTTAAAAATTCAATTTAAGAACAAATTTTTTTTGCCAGTTTTAGATCACACTTTACGCTTGGTTTTCATAGTTTATGACTCATAATTTATCTTTCTAGTTTGTTCTTGATAAATGTTAAAGGAGTAATACAATGAAGCAAACTTTTTCCCTTGTTTTTAATGGATGAGTGATTCATATATTTGTTTGCTTTTGACTACTTATGCACCTATTGTTGACTGTCGAATATATTGAGATGATGTGGTATGCTTTAATAGCTTATGATATCTCTGTGTAATTCCTACGTTAACTGCTTTACTTCACTTTCTTTGCATCCTGTACATTTACAAAGCACAATCTAATGAATATTTCTGACCTAGTTACTAAGATGTAGGTCTGCTATGGAGATAACAGAGTTAAAATATGAAATCTGAACTTCAGTTGTTTGGAAAGTTTGCAGTTGTTTTCCATGTTATTTTCTCTTCATGTTAATTCAGTTTGAGCACTTGCAATAATTATAGCATTACCGGACCCATTTATAGTCACATACTGTATAGGTTTGTTTTGTGTGGTACACAAAAAGCAGCATTCTAAAATTGTTTATCTTCACCCAGAGCAAACCAGCCAGGTGGAGAGATTTTCACACTGCCACTCCTGTGGGAACCACAATGTTTGTGTTTGGAGGTCGATGTGATGAGGGCGGAGACCAGTTCACCAATAATGAAATCTACTGTAATAAAGTGATGGCCTTCGACACAACTTCAGACACCTGGCTTCGACCCACACCACCTCCACCTGGTGCTCCCGCTGGGAGAAGGAGCCACTCTGCTTGTGAGTAAGGCTGTATCTTCCTATGGCTGGTCATGGACCTTTTTTAGATGTGAAATATAGTAAGCTCTTGACTGTGTTAAAAAAGTGATAAATTTACAAGATTGCACATTGTATGATGTATTGATGAGACAAGATTCACCACGTCTTGAGGGGAAAAAAAGTAATGTATGTTCTCTGGTGAAGGAGAGGAGCAGATGAGAAATTTTAGTGAGTTTTTTGTCTTTTTAGTGTGTTAGGTAGACTTTGTCCTGCCCACCGTCTCCTCTGTTCTCTCTAGGACGGGAGTACTGACAGCATACTATGTGGTGTGGTTATTTTTATTTTTGGTTTTTTTTTGTTGTTTTGGGGGCTTTTTTTTACACCACAGACAGAACTCTTAACCATTCTACTCCCAAGCTCCTTTTCTGTTCTTTCCCACTGTTTTTCACGTCCAAAATATGACATTTAATAACCAAAATCTCAAACATGTTGTTTTAGCAAAAAGTTTTATGTGTTTTCTCTTTTCAGTTGAGTACAATGGTGCAATATATGTCTTTGGGGGCTACAATGGCCTCAGAGAAACCCACTTCAACGATCTCCACCGACTTGATCTGTGTAAGTAACCTTGAAGTCTTTAGTCTGATGAATCTTAGGTACTGTGTTACAAGTTAATGGTACGTTTTCAATCTGTATAGTAATTTTAGTCGGAACCAGAAACTAAATTTTTCCCTTGTCTTCTGAGAATTTTGGTACCGTTCTTTTACCTCTGTTGTTATTTTCTTTAAAAATGGCGGTCGTATTGATGTAATCAAAGTGTTGCAAAATTTTCTAATCACCTGCAACCCCATGTTGGACAGATAATAAAACATTACTAAGCGCACCAAACATCTACACATCAACAGAGGACAATCACTAAAACATAGATTTGGAGCTTAATGTCTCTCAAGACTGAAATCATTGCAGATTAGTATTTTATTACCTCAAGTGTGCAGATTTGTCTATATATCAACAAAAATAGTCTTTTCCCGGCTGGCATCGTCCCCAATCCTGCTCCCCGTGTTGGGTCATATACTTTAGGGGTTCCGTGGAAGGGTCTATGCGAATTGATCCCAGCGGAAGACTTTATATTAACAGAAAATGAACTGACCTCTATATGGGTGCAGTTTTTGAGTTAGCCATCAAATGTATTTTGCATATTTAGAAAACTTTGAGGCAGTTTCTAAAGGCTTTATATTTAACCTCTTCGTTGCCGCGCCTGTAGAATTTATAGTAGTAGTTATAAGGGAAGTTACTTTCTAAAATCTTGTAATTATCATTGGGGTACCTTCCCTTTATGTTTACCTCCATTTTCCCCCATTTGAAAGCGTCAGATTCAGATTTTAGCTCGAAGAGAAGATTAGATCTAGATCTGACACATCTAGATCTACCACACAAAATTCATTAACTGGCAGTAAACACAGATGGGCTTACATGTATGTATATGGATTGTACGAGGGTTGTATAATGTAGGAAAAGCCTCTAGTCACTTCTTCTTTACCTGCAAACACTCACACAACATGTATTCCCCTTATTTTGGTCTCAGTTTATCATTACTCGAATGTGTGTTGTTTATGTTGTTTGGTGGTGTTGTTTTTGGCATCATGTGACTTACTCCAACTTTTCTCCATCTATCTCACTATGAAATTCCCCCTAAAGTATATCAGTAGAAATGTGATTCAATGTAGAATGTACATGCAGAAATTCATGAGGAAATATTCATATAAATAAAAAAAGTTGTGGGATGTAGAGTGGGGCCACACCTGATCTGCTTTGGTTCATGGGATTTCCTCCGGCACCGGGGCCTATTTACCAGCGGCATTGAGAGGGTTAAACCCAAAGGCGTTAAATATATCACCGGAAATGCCATTCTTAGCTTTATAGTTCTCCGCCAACGAAAAGACTGTATTCAATTATCAATCTTTCTATGAAGCATTTGAATGCATGGTTTTGGAGTCAATTTTTGAACTGGCTGACCAGGAGGGGCTTCGCTTTCTACGACGATTCTCCAGCTCCACGTACACATACATACAAACAACTGACATTGTATTGAGGAAAAGTGGAACTTTTTCATGGAGTACAGCATTTGGTGCTTTATAGTGACAGAGCAAAGAAACAGTTATTTGAATTGCCCTGATTTTGCAGAATTTACCCGCTCTAAAGATCTCGAGTTTGGCTTACGTGCCGTGTGTATGCTATCTAATTTTAGAAATGAGACCTCTGATTTGTCAACCATGTCCAACAGTTGGGTGGGTTGGGAGTCAATGAAACTTCTGTTAACAACCAAAATTTAAGAATGGCTTGGA